TGGACCCTCACTGGTCTGATCCAGCAGGGCTCTTCTGATGTTCTTATGCTTTTATGTATATTGGCATAGAACCCATGCTCCAAAGCAGTCATTTTTTCCCACGGGGGAACAGAGCTCTATAGTTTGAAGATCAGTTGCTATTCTGGGAGATCTTCAGGAGGCACCTGGAGGGTGGTAACCCCACTTGGCAGCTCTACCTTAAGAACATACAATAAAATATGCATCACCCAAGTTTGAAATCGATCTATGACTATAATGTGCATTTGGGTGGTACAGGTTTTTGATCAGTGAATCCAAGCCAGGTGCAAAGGTTATTTTTGTCATCCCCCTCTCAACCCAAATCCCAGTTCAGGGTCCTCATAAAGGTAAAGGTAAAGGTTCCCTTGCTCGAAAGCCAGTCGAGTCCAACTCTAGGGTTGCGGTGCTCATCTCCCTTTCAAAGCCGAAGAGCCAGCGCTGTCCGAAGACGTTTCCGTGGTCATGTGGTCGGCATGACTAAACACCAAAGCGCATGGAATGCTGTTACCTTCCCCCCGAAGTGGTACCTAAAACTTCTAAAACTTCCCATCTCCCAGAATCACAGGTGCTTCAAGACACATCTAAGCCTTGGTGTTTGGTTGGGGAATTTTTTGACTGAACCTAGGAGGACATCTAGAGGCAAAATAATGTATTAAGCTAGCTGTCTTTTTGTTTGTTTGTTTTAGCCATCTGGACCATTTCCACAGTAGCGAGATTCCATGCATTAGTGTTTTAAACCTGCGCGTTATGTGAAATTTTCCGCAGCTCTTTCGAGGACTGCTCACGAGAGAACAGCTCTGAGAGAACTTGTGACTGACCCAAGGTTGCACCAGGAGCTGCACGTGGAGGAGTGGGGAATCAAATCTGGATCTCCCTGATTAGAGTCTGCAAACTGAACCACTACACCAAACCGGTTATCAAGAAGAGCTCAGTGACATAGATAGCTCATAGATTGCCTGCCAAGGCTCAGCTGATCAGCTGGTGAAAACGGGGACCAAAGGGTGACAGCATGATCACCATGGAGAGAGATTTTTTTTAAAGGCCTCATCAACTTACAGGAAGTTCTGACCATAGAGTTCCTGACGATTCCTAGAGCTACCTGGAAGTGACAAGTGTAACTCTAGCAATCGCCAGAAACTCTGTGGTATCCCCCCACTACCCTCCCCCAACTACCCTTCTAATCAACCCATTACCCCAAGACCTCAACGGCCTGCAATTTCCCACTCCAGAGGAACTTTTGTCCAAAGGGTTTGGGTTTTCATAGCCTCTAAAAGACCAGCAGTGTAACACAAATGCTCGATCCAACCATCCTCCAGATGACAGAGATCAGTTCCCCTGGAGAAAATGGCGTCTTTGGTGTGTGGACTTGTTATGATCTGGGCTGTGCCACCAGAGGCCTACTAGGCCCAGGGAGCCTGGCTAGCAGTAGGTGAGGCTGGGCCTACAACTCCCAGGAGCCCCTGGGAGGTTTTGGAGCCAAAATGGACCAATAGGGAAGAAGAGGGCTGGGGAACAAAAGGGCTGGTGCCAGAGCAGAAGCTGTTCTTTCTTCCAGAGGGCAGAGCCAGAAGGAAGGCTGCTGCAGGGAAGAAACCCTCATCCTGAGGGCAGGGTGAGTAGTCTAGTGTCACTTGGAATAGTGAGCTAGGAACAGTATATATTTAGATGCGTTAGGGCATTTGATTCCTTTTCTTTTCACCCACTTACTGTTATTATTCTGCACCTTGTTGTTTGACTTCCTATAAAATAAACCTTTTCCTTGTTTCACTCTGCCTGGTCCTCGCGCCTGTTATTCAGCCAAAAGGGAGGCCTGGAGGTCTTGGGAGGGTGCTCTGGGCCTTCTCAAGGGAGCCTGGAACCAGAGTGGTGGCAGCGTCAGGTGACACCCCCACCTGAGCCGTGACAGGACTCCATGACATTATACCCCACTGGGGTCCTTCTCTACCTCAAACTCCACCTTCCCTAGGCTGCACCCCCAAATCTTCAGGAATGTCCCACCTGGAGTAGGCAACCATTGGCTGGAGGAACTTGTCACACTTTGCTCAGTGGAGTTCGAGCAGAGGGGTAGGATCCACCAGACCGTCAGCAAGGCCTTTCCACCAAGCAGGGGACTGTGATGGACAGGAGGCTGTCTTGCCCCGGAAGAGAAAAACAACCCGGGCTTTTTTCTTTTTCTTTTTTTCTGGGGGAATGTGCTGGAACGGAGTTCTCTGGAACCTCTTTGACAAAATTGGAGCCTGTTTGGTGTAGTGGTGAAGTGCGGGGACTCTAATCTGGGAGAACCGGGTTTGATTCCCCACTCCTCCACTTGCTCCCGGCTGGATGACCTTAAGCAAGCCATAGTTCTGATAAAAGCTGTCCTTGAAAAAGAGCCGTTTCTGTCAAGAGCTCTCTCAGCCCCGCCTACCTCAAAGGGTGTCTGTCGTAGGGAGGGAAAGGGAAAGGAGTTTGTAAGCCGCTCTGAGACGCCTTCGGGTAGTGAAGGGCGGGGTATAAATCCAATCTTCTTCTTCTCCTTCTTCTTCTCCTCCTCCTCCTCCGTCTCCTCCTCCTCCTCCTTCTTCTCCTCCTTCTTCTTCTACTTGGGACGCTCTAACATTTGGGTAAAAACTCTATGGTGGGAAGGTAACAGCATTCCGTGCGCCTTGGTGTTTAGTCATGCCGGCTACATGACCACGGAAACGTCTTCGGACAGCGCTGGCTCTTTGGCTTTGAAACGGAGATGAGCACCGCAACCCTAGAGTTGGACTCGACTGGCTTTCGAGCAAGGGAACCTTAACCTTTTTACTAAATTAGTCATATTTTGTTAACGATCTTTGGTATTTTTGCATATTCTGACTCTAACCTATAGTTAGTTTACAATTTGTGTTTTGTAATTTTGAAACGGCCAATGGCGAGTTACAATAAACTAAACTGAAACTGTATTCATTTCAGTCTAATGTCTGAAGCCCGATACAGCCACTGGAGGTCAGCACAAACCCACTGAACAATTTCATAGGGCAGCTGTGTCCGTCTGCAGTAAGTCAGCTAGATTCAAGTCCAAGAGCGGCACCTTAGAGGCCCACTTGATTTTCAGGGCAGAAGCTTTCAAGAGTCGACACTCCCTTCGTCAGAGACAAGTCGGAACAGAGTCTCTCTTAGGCCTTATATCCCAGTCAGGAGGTGGCAGGGGTGTTGTGAAGAAGGAACTCAGGATGCAGAGGTACAATGCGGTAAAGAGGTAAAGGTTTCCCCTTGCTCGAAAGCCAGTCGAATCCGACTCTAGGGATGCGGTGCTCATCTCTGTTTCCAAGCCGAAGAGCGAGCGCTGTCCGAAGACATCTCCGTGGTCATGTGGCCGGCATGACTAGATGCCAAGGCACATGGAACGCTGTTACCTTCCCACTGAAGCGGTACCAGAGGATGTAGTGATGGCCACAGGAATGAACAGCTGGAAAAGGGGATTAGATAGATTCATGGAGGACAGGTTTATCAATAGCTACTAACTGTGGTGACTAAGGGGAAACTCCCAGAGCCAGGAGGCAACCTCAGGGGAAGGTCTCAGCCTCTGTGCCCTGTTGTTGGCCCTCCAGAGGAACTGGTCGGCCCCTGTGTGAGACAGGATGCTGGACTGGATGGACCCTCACTGGTCTGACCCAGCAGGGCTCTTCTGATGTTCTTATCAGGGGAAGGCCTCGGCCTCTCTGCCCTGTTGTTGGCCCTCCAGAGGAACTGGTCGGCCCCTGTGTGAGACAGGATGCTGGACTGGATGGACCCTCACTGGTCTGACCCAGCAGGGCTCTTCTGATGTTCTTATCAGGGGAAGGCCTCGGCCTCTCTGCCCTGTTGTTGGCCCTCCAGAGGAACTGGTCGGCCCCTGTGTGAGACAGGATGCTGGACTGGATGGACCCTCACTGGTCTGACCCAGCAGGGCTCTTCTGATGTTCTTATCAGGGGAAGGCCTCGGCCTCTCTGCCCTGTTGTTGGCCCTCCAGAGGAACTGGTCGGCCCCTGTGTGAGACAGGATGCTGGACTGGATGGACCCTCACTGGTCTGACCCAGCAGGGCTCTTCTGATGTTCTTAATCGTAATCAGTTCGACTAAAGTAGAGGGGAAATGCTTCCAGGTGGAAAATTAGCATCTGTATCGAGATAAAAATCCTTTGTCCCCCTGTTCAGCCCTGAATCTCTTCCTTTTTTTATTTAGAAGAAGAGACAAAGAAGAGATGGGCTTTATACCCCACTCTTCACTCAGAGTCTCAGAGCGGTTTACAATCTCCTCTCCCTTCCCCTCCCCACAACAGACACCCTGAGGTAGGTGGGGCTGAGAGAGCTCTTTCGAGGACTGCTCCTGGGAGAACAGCTCTGAGAGAACTTGTGACTGACCCAAGGTCACACCAGTAGCTGCATGAGGAGGAGTGGGGAATCAAACCCGGTTCTCCAAGATTAGAGTTTGTGCACTTAACCACTACGCTTAGTGAGAAAGATGGCATAAAGGGGGGGGAAATGGTCAGACCCAAGGTGGAATCACAGACTAGTACAAAGTACTGGACGTCTTATCTAAAATATCGAGCACACGTGACCCTAAAGCACAGATTCTTTTGAGAGGGCAACATCATTTCTTTTTTTTTCTTTTTTTCAGCCCCCAGAGGGGATTTTTTATTATTTTTTATATCACTACAAAAACTACAACAGAAATAAAGGGAGGGGAAACTACATATACGGGATAAAGTAAAGAAACCACTACTGACTAAAAACCCAAGAAAGGAGATCCTCCAACTAGCTTGGTTACATCAAGTCTTCCCATCATTGATCCCTTTATAAACTGAGTCAAATATTTGCAACCCTTTTTCTTTAAAGTTTAAATTTAACTGTCTAGAAACAGTACCCCCTGAGGCAACATCATTTCTCACCAGGGTACATACCAAACAGAGCAAAGAAAATAAAAAATGTGCATAGAATTATGATATTTTCTTTCCCTTGAGATAAAAGAGCTGGGTAGGAAAGAAACTTGTTTTATATAAAGACTTAGAAAATACAGGAAGGAAGAACACGTTTGACTTGTGCTCACGGTTTCTGGATTTTGGGACTGATTTTACAATTCAGAAGCACTCCTTTGTATCGACTATTGTTAAAGAATTGGTAGCTTTTGGACTCGCCCTAAAATCAAATGACCTTAGTCTGTTCTAGAACGAGACTGTTCTAAAGACTGCTGTATAAGACGGTTCCATCACTCTTCGTATTCAGGTTGGTTGAAGCCATTCCTGTCTCTGGTAGCCTTTATCTGCGGAGCCCAAAATATTACAGCCGGCATTGCAGACTTTTATTCGCAGAAGAAGTCATTGACCTGGAAGATACAGACATGAGAAATAGCAAAAGGTATTCACTTGAAAACTATACTGGATTTCCTTGAAAGGAAGACGACCCTGAATGTTATATGCGGGGACTTTATCTTCCAAAGCGGACATTTTCTCCAAATGTAGAAGAAAAAGAAGATATTGGATTTATACCCCGCCCTTCACTCGGAGTCTCAGAGAGGCTTACAAACTCCTTTCCCTTCCCCTCCCCACAACAGACACCCTGTGACGTAGGTGGGGCTGAGAGAGCTCCTTCCAGAACTATCCTTGAGAGAACAGCTCTGAGAGAACTATGGCTTGCCCAAGGTCATCCAGCAGCTGCAAGTGGAGGAGTGGGGAATCAAACCCGGTTCTCCCAGATTAGAGTTCGCACACTTAACCACTACACCAAACTGGCCAATATGACCCTGAATGTTATATGTAGGGACTTTATCTTCCAAAGCGGACATTTTCTCCAAATGTACTGATCTCTGTGACCCAGAGATTAGAGCAAGAGTCTAGTAGCACCTTAAAGACTAACAACATTGGTGGCAGGGGATGAGCTTTCATGAGTCACGACTCACTTCTTCAGATACAGTTGGATTGTGAGTCAATCTGTCCTTGTATCTTGGAGAATGGCATGATTTCAGATGCTAGATGACAATAGCAGGTGAGCGACAATAGCAGGCATGATTGGCTTAGGTGTGATTTTGCAGAGGGGCCTTAGGCGCGGAGAAATCAGCATTGGTAATGAGACAGGAAACCTAGATCATGCTTCAGTTCAGGAGGATACATTTGTCTTGAGCTTCATTATCAGTTGTGATTCGGCAGTCTCTCTTTCTAATCTCCACCCCCAGAATCTCCAGGTATTTTCCAACCCAGAACTGGCAACCCTAGTGCCTCAATTTGCTAATTGTGAGTTGGGATTTTCCCCTGCCTAGGGGTGGAGCCTGGGGGAGGTGGAATTTAGGGACGGGAGGGACTTCAGTGGGTTATACTACCATAGAGTCCACTTTCCAAAGCTTCCAGTTTCTCCAGAGGAGCTGATTTCTGTTGCCCTGGAGATCAGTTGTCATAGCGGGAGATCTCCGGCCACCCCCTGGAGGCTGAAACAACATCCGTGACAAGAATAACGAAGAGCCAATAAAGATATGTTGCAAAATCATTTACTGCAGTAATTCTGTAGAACATTCTCTTCTATTATCGCTCACACGCTAACGAATGCTGCGCAATGGAAACAATCCGTTTCACAAGATTTGCTTGATCTGAGCGTGTAGCAATCACAATCCTTATCAATTACGACTTATCAACTCTTGAAGGAAACTTTCCATGTTGACTCTCTAATAACAGAACCCGAGGTCTCCACAGTGTTGATAAGTCGCAACGGATAATAATTGTGATTGCTACACGCTCAGATCAAGCAAATCTTGTGAAACGAATAGTTCACATTGCGCAGCATTCGTTAGCGTGTGAGCGATAACAGAAGAGAATTTTCTACAGAATTACTGCAGTAAATGATTTTGCAACATATCTTTATTGGCTCTTTGTTATTGTTGTCACGGATGTTGTGTTTGGATTTCCACTTCCTCCTGTGACCTCTCATTTTTGGCTGTAACCACCGGGAGGCTGGCAAGCCTGCTAGGCCCCGCCCTGACAAGATTTATCACCTCAGTGAGAAGCGGGTGAGTTACGCAGGCGGGAAACGGTGCTGCTTTCCGCATGAGAGAAGTGATCTGGATACACCTCTGCTGATATCGAAGGAGAGAGGCAACCAAGAGGGTAGATGCGGAAAATGTGGCGTGCAGCTCAGCCGGGAGGGGGAGCAGAATGACCGAACAGCGGCAAGGGACAGGAAGGAGGGTTGCCAACAAGCACAGGAGGCCCCTTGTGCTCGGAAGAGAGCACCTTTCAGTACACAGCAGGCTGGAGCCAAGCAAAACTTGGCAGAGGTTTATTCAATAACATCAGTGAAGCGACAGAACTCCGTTTGAGTCCAGGGGCACCTTTAAGACCGACAGAGTTTAATTCTGGGTATGAGTGAGGACTGAGTGACTTAGCATGTGTAGAGGCACGCTTCTTCGGACACGTCAAAACAGACTTCCTCAAGTGGTACATATGGGGGGGATTAGTTGCCAGGAAGGACTTTTTGTTGTTGTTCAGCCGCACGGTCGAGTCTAACTCTTTGCAACCAATGCTCCCTCTGAGCTGTGGAGTCTTGTGAGCAAAAGTTCTACTTGGGTCCCTGCCACACGGCAGAAAAAACAGCGGGCAAAGTGCGGCTAATCAGAGCCGCACCAAAATAGAGACGCCACAGCGGGATCCCACAGATCCCCTAAGCCGCGGCGCTGTTGCTCCCCGGCACGATCAGATGCCGGGGAGGAAGCCACGGTCGGGAGGGGGAGGCTGCCGAACTACGCATGCGTGAGCATGCGCAGTTCAGCCAGGAGCCGGGGATGTGCCGGCGGAAGGACGCACCGGCAATCCCACGGCCAGCCTTGATGCGGCCTTGCCGGAAGAACCACCTCGGTAGGTGGTTTGTTTTTGCTGCGGTGTTTTGGGTGGAAGGGCTGGATCGGGGACAGTGCGCAACGCTTCCCTGATGTTGCGGTGGGATCGCGCCCGTTTGCTGCACCCCCAATCCGGCCCTCTCCCGGCCCAAAACCTCTCATGTGACCGGGGTCTTGGTGAGCTACTGGCATTAAAGCTGTGACCGAGCGATTTGGCTGCTGCATCAATTAGTTTGCTCTGGAGCCCTCCTTCCTGAGCTAAGATGAAAAGGTGGAAGCCAGAGGCTTAAAAACTGTGAGCTAGTTCACACTAACTCAGCTTAGAGGGAACACTGTTTCCAACCCCATGGACCACATCACGCCAGGCCCTCCTGTCTTCCGTCATGCTCCGGAGTCTGCTCAATTTCATGTTCGCTCCATCGATGACACTGTCTAGCCATCTCATCCTTTGCCGTCCCCGTCTTCTTTGACCTTCAGTCTTTCCCAGCATCAGGGTCTTCTCCAGTGAGGGCTCCCTTCTCATTGGGTGGCCAAAGGATTTGAGCTTCAGATTCAGCAGGGCTCTTTTTGTAGAAAAAGTCCAGCAGGAACTCATTAGCACAATTGGCCACAGCCAACAGCAGAAACGTATTAGCATATTAGGCCACACCCCTGACAGCACAGGTCATTACCACATGAGGCCATGAAGCGTGGTCATCCAGCCACACCCACCTTTCCCTTCTTATTCTGTTTACCTTGTTTGTTGTCAAAACCCAGGGCCTTTTTTTTGTAGCAGAAACTCCTTTGATGTTAGGCCACACACCCCTAATGTAGCCAATCCTAATGCGTTCCTGCTGTTGGGTGTGGCCTATTATGCTAATGAGTCCCTGCTGGGAGTGGCCAACTCAGGAGCCAGCCGGAACTCTGTTCCTGTGCGTTCCTGTCCCAAAATAGCCCTGAGCTTCAGCATCTGGCCTTCCAGGGAACAGTCAGGGTTGATTCCTTTGAGGATTGACTGATTGGATCTCTTTGCAGTCCTAGGGCTAGTTAAGAGTCAAAGATGCATAAGTAACTGATGTTAACTCTTTTATTTCTGTGCTGATTTGCTGCTGTTCACGTGTCTCACCAACTGCTTGAATCCAGTCTTCGCTATACTTATCGCTCAATCACTTATGCGTCTTGATAGATTCAGGCGGGTGGCCGTGTTGGTCTGAAGTGGTAGAACAAAGGGTGAGTCCCGTGGGGCCCCTTTAAGACCAACGAAGTTTTGTTCGAGGCATAAGCTTTAGTGTGCAAGCACACTTCCTCAGATACAGCAACTCTAATTGGCCCTTCCTGGCAACTAGAAGAAGAGATTGGGTTTATATCCCACCCTTCACTTCCTGGCAAGCCAGTTTGGTGTCGTGGTGAAGTGCGCGGACTCTAATCTGGGTAGGGTTGCCAAGTGGGACTTACCTTGGTGGCGAGGGACTCTCGAGTGGATCCCAGAGCGCGCGCGCCACACACACGTCACCAGTGAGTGACATTATGACGCCGGGCATGCTGGAGGCGAGACCACGACCATATAAGGGGAGACCATAGAGTTTTCCCTTGTATGGCAGTGGCCCCGCCCCCAGCGTGCCCGTGTCACTTCCGGGTGACGCGCACGCCGGGGAGGAGTTCCCCCGGGGCCCGATCCAGCGGTGCCGGGGAACGGGCCTCTGGGGCGGGGGTTTCCCCGCCCCCTGGGGGGACTTGGGATCCCTAAATCTGGGAGAACCGGGTTCGATTCCCCCACTCCTCCTCCACTCGCACCTGGCTGGATGACCTTGGGCAAGCTGTAGTTCTGATAAAAGCTGTCCTTGAAAAAGAGCATTTTCTGTCAGAGGTCTCTCAGCCCCACCCACCTCACAGGGTGCCTGTTGTGGGGAGGGGAAGGGAAAGGAGTTTGTAAGCCGCTCTGAGACAGCCTTTGGTAGTGAAGGACTCTAATCTGGGAGAACCGGGTTTGATTCCCCCCTCCTCCACTGGCACCTGGCTGGATGACCTTGGTCAAGCCGTAGTTCTGATAAGAGCTGTTCTTGGAAAAGAGCCATT